AGAAACATAAGAAATATCCAATTTATCATCTTTAAAAATTTAGGTCAGACAATTTAAAACTAAATTTGGTAAGTAGTGGTACAAGTAATGTTTCATATTATGGTTCTTTGAGGACTTTAGAGAAACAAGGAGAGTGAAACAGAGCATGGGAGAGGCACATATGAATGGGAGATGGGTGCATTTGTGAGTTTCTGAATTGAGTATATTTGTTGGAGGAAAATGTCTCTTGTCCTGATCAACAACTCTATTTTAAATTTCTGATTGGGCTTCTATGACCCCCACCTCTATTACATTGTAGACTAGAGTTTTCTACTTTTATTTTCAAACTTCAAAATTTAGCTTTGCTAATAGTTTACTTTGTGTAATTCTGAAGTCATTGCTATACTTAAAGGAATAAGAGATTCTAGAAATTTCCTAGAAAACTTTGGTGCTTTCGTTACTTCAGTTGGCTTTGCCTGTCAGTTCCTTGAGTATTCAAAAGCTGGCTATTGCTTAATTTAGCCTAATTTGGTGGTGCAGAATACTGGACCAGAGAGTCAGAAGACTTGGGTTCAAATCTTGGCTTTGACATTTATTTTATTTTTGAAATTACCTTCCCTTTAGTTGATCTTTTAAAGAATTTATTATTTATTTATTTCTAACAGCTTTGACATTTATTGCTATTGTGATGTTTGGCAAGTGGATTAAACTTTATGAACTTTAGTTTGCTCATCTGTAATAGGCAATTGGATGAAATCAGGAGTTCTTATCCTTTTTGTTTGTCATGTATCTACTCAGAATAATATTTTAAAATGCATAGAATATATAGCATTACCAAGGAAGAAAATTATGTTGAAATACATATATCAAAATATTTTTAAAAAATTCATGGGTGCTAGGTTAAGAACCGCTGGATGAGATACTCTCTAACGTCCCTTCTAATTCTAAATCCTATTTTTAATGGCATTTTCCAGTGCTATTGCATTCCGGTGTAGCAAGACTCATCATTTATTTAACTTTTTTTTTTTTTGGTCTTTCAGGAAAAAATAAACAACTTTCCAAATGAAATTCAGGTTGTGTGTGTGTGTGTGTGTGTGTGTGTGTGTGTGTGTATGTGTGTGTGTGTAGTTATGTCCTGATAGAGACTCTTTATAGGTATCTTGATAATAATGTAACAATCCAGCACCCTCCCCCCCAAAAAAAAAATAAAACACAAGAAAAGAAAGAATCTCTTTAGGTTTAATCAGGTTTCACTTGCCTTATCAAGTCTCTAGCTCTGAAACGGATTGCCACAGTATCCAACCTGGGGGAGAAATTATTTTCTGTTTTGCAGCTCATTTTTTCTTACTTGCTGCCAGGCTTAGTTGAAATTGAACCGAGGCCTAGATCTGGCTAGGTCTGGAGATCCCTGCTTGTGAGCGTGTCTGTATATCTTTAGTGAATCAAGTTTGGGGGTTGGAGTGAGGTAAGTGACCTGGGTTACAGTCCTCCCTTATGTACTTATGTATTATGTATGTAATTGTATGATCATTGACAAAAATGTCATGTAATCTAGTTTCCCATCTGTAAAATGGGTTTAATAATACTTTGTACTACCAACTTCACAAGTTGGGTGTCAGGGAAATGCTTATGTAAACCTTGAAAGTTCTATGTCAATATGACTTGTTATTGCTATTGTTTTAAAATAGTTTTTTTTTTTATGAAATCATTGGTTAGGCAGGGAGCCTGCCTTATTACCTTAATTCACTTTGGTCTTGTGCCTGTTGCTATAGCATTTTGTTTTCTTAAAGGGCTTAAATCAGTATGGTTGTTTTAAATCTACACGATGCTTCTTGGTCTTTGGGATGGTTGATGAATATCCTTATAATTTTTCAAAATGCTCTTCAGGAATTAGACTAGTTTAGAAATGAAGAGGGAGCCAGAAAAATGTGAATAATCTGTTTACTCAGTTGTTAGTATGTAACACCCTCCAGAAAGGGTATGTTTCTGTCTGGCGCATGTTAACGGTTCCTCCAACAGAGTTGTTTTTGTCCGCATTCATTAGCACATTTGCTGATCTCGCTAAGTAAAGCAATTACTGTATTTTAACCATCTTTTCCAATAGGAAACACAGTGTTTATTGGCCAGATGTCGATGTGACACCCTGGCAAATTATCAGCTTTTACCTCATAATTATGTAAGGCACCAGTTGGGCGCCATCTCTGAGTGAAGGTGTAGACATGGAGCGTGATGTGTTAGGATTTTAACTTGGGTTACTCTCTGAAATTAGAGAATAGCTTTCAGCAGATTTTATTAATGAATGTGCTGTTTATAGTCCTATCATAAAGGATAGTCTAAATTTGAGTTAAGTAAGACTCAGTAAAAACCCTACTTTCCTTGGGGCTGCACATTAACATGGAGGAATTTAGCTCTTCCTAAGGAACAGGTAGGATTATACCATTCCCTTTCTCAAGAACCTTTAGTGACTCACTGCTGTTAACTCTGTGGTAAAGTGCAAAAAAAATCCCTCTCACGTGGGCTCCAACTTGTCTTTCTAGACTAATTTAACATTATTCCCCACAACAACTTTTATATTCCAGCTAACATAGTTGTTCCCCAAGGTGGGTATTCAGTCTCCCCCTTGTGTGTATTTGCATAGGTTATCCTTCATTCCTGGAATGCAAGGCTTGTTCATGGCAGCCTCTTAGGAGCCTTAGCTTTCTTCAAGGCCCGGTTTGGGCATCCTTCTTATGCCAATGTGTTCCTGCCTTCCTATGCCTCACTCCACCCCACCCTCCTGAACCCTCTCATTGTTAGTGCTTTCTCCTTCCTTAGATTGCCTTGTACTTGCTTTTTTGAGCATATCACATCTTTCTGGAGAATGTGAGCTCCTTAAAGGCACAACTATTTCATTTTTGTCTTTATACCCCCAACACCCAGCTCAGTTCCTTGTATACAGTAGTCCCTTACTATTTGTTGAGTGCAGCAGTATCAGATCGTACCATCAAGTTTGGTCTTGGTAATAGGCTATATTTTTGTTTCTTGAGACCCACCTAAATAATATGAGATGTCTTTTTGATCACATGTGCTCCTGAAGTCAGGCTAGTCTATATCAGTGGTACTAGTTTTCTCATGAAAGAAATCATGAATCTTTTGAAGTATTGAAGATGATTTTGCTACCTTGTTAAGAACTATGACTGTGGGAAAACAATGACTAGAGTTGGTCTTTCATTCAAAGTATTGGGCAGTTAATGAAATCCAAGACTAAAATTTCTTACATGCTTGCTATGACTGTAATAAATATAAGCATACAAATAACTACTATCACAGTAGTAATATGATAATTACATGGAGGGTCCAATTGAATTATGTGAGAAATTAGAGAATAGACAGATAATTGTCCATTAACTGGGCGATCAGGAAAGATTTATTGGAAAAGGTAGCAGCTGAGCTGAGCTGTGGAAGGGAAGGTCTTCAAAAGCCAGAAAGGCAGCCCCAGGTTTCTCCTTTGTAAAATGAGGACAATAGCAATACCAGCTTGACCTGTTAACAGGGTTATTGTGAGGATCAAATGAGATATAACACAGTTATCCCTTGTACATTTTAGATGTTAGAGGTGAAGTGCCCCCATGATCTGGAAAAATCCATGTAAAGTCTTTTTGTCTTCCCTTCATACCAGAGAAGAAGTCTGAATTACTGTGGTATTGAAAGAGAAAATATATTGATATTATATAACACTATGCATATATCTTATGCATTCCTGAGTTTCTGACCTTTTTCTGTGTCATCTTCTGGCCTTCACATGTCATCTCTGGCTTCCACAAAACTCCACCAAAATTTCTTATGCCTGCCTGCAATATATTGAAACCCCAACGGGGAAGCTTGTGATGTGGAAGGGATAACAGCATATGTAAAACACTTTGCAAACAAACTTTTAAACTTTACATAAATGTTATCTATAGAAGTGTAGGGGACATTACTTGAGGATTATGCATTTTTTGCATATATCTCTCTTTTAGCTCCCTGTATACTGAGAGCAAATTTAAGAAAAAAATATTCCTTAAAAAAAATTGAGAAAAAAAATGACATTAGTGAAGGTCAGAATTATGTACAAAGTCATAGAGGTGGGAAAGTTTAACACTAGGTCAGGAAATAAGTAGTTCACTTTGGTACATGAACTTTGTGAAAGGTTGTATGATATAATGATTAGAAGTTTGAACCAAGTTGTTGAGGGGCCTGATTTCTGGGCTAAGTAAGTAGTTTGTTTTTTATTTAGAATCAATAGGGAACCACTGAAAGGTTTTAACAGACCTCTATGATGTAGTGTTTACCCTGGCAGTGATCTGAAGGATACAGTGGAAAGAGGATGAGATTAGAGACAGGAAGATAGGGTAGCAGGCTATTATAATAGTCTAGGAGAAGAGTATTGATGGCCTGAACCAGGGTGTCAGCAGGAAGTAACGAGGAGAGAGTAGATGATGGTGTTTGATAACCCTTAGATGGAATCAAATTGATAGGTAAGATGTGTCAGCTGATTGGATGATAAGAGTGAAGACTTAAAAATAATTGAATTATGAGTCTTGGAAAAGGTCAGAGCTGCCATCAGCAGAAACTGAGAAGTTAGAAGGAAAGACATGGAGGGAGGGGGAAGAGATGAGTTCTGTTTTGGATGTGTGAAGTTTGCAGTATCAGCGAGATATCTAGGTAGAGGTATCAAGAAGGCAGATGTCAAGAGGGCCTCTCCAAATACTTTTGGTGGTTGGCATAGGGTGACAAAAGCAGATAACTAAGGAGGGGGTGGGTACTACTTTGGTCAGGGTCACACCAGAGTGGTCCATAGCATGGGCATTCATTCAAAATCAAATATTAATGAGGATTCAGAAATTTTCTATAGGGTGGTTAGGGTGTCTGTTTTTTGATCCTAGAAACTGTCTTTGATGATATAAAGTGCGTTTCATTTTTAAATGATCCTGTTTAACGGGTGAAATCTTGTCTCATTTAAAGACTAATTTTTCCTTGTATCTCCTTTTCTTTTTAAATAGCTTAAACATCATGGAGCTGTATTTTGGAGAATATAAGCATGTGCAGCAGGAATATGGAGTACACCTTAGGCTTGAAAGTGATGAGACCAAGAAATCAAGGCTTTCTCAGAATGCCAAGACAGGATCTTATGGTGTCAGTATTAGAGTACAAGGAATTGATGGCCACCCATACATCGTACTGAATAATACAGAGAGATGTTTGACAGGCGTTCCTTTTGCAGAAAATGGGCCATCATTTACATCTCCAGCAGTCAGTGACCTGCCTTTACATTCCAACATTGATCCCAGACTGGAAGAGAAAGCCAGTGAAGAGCTACGGTTCCCAGAAAACCCATATGCACAGCCCAGTGCATTTAGAAGTCTAAAGCCAGCCAGCCTTTATGAAGGTAAGAATGGATTTCTTGACCACAGAGATAGTTCACTAAAATCTTCCAACATGTTGAACTTTCAGAGACACCCTGAACTTTTGCAGCCTTATAATCCTGAAAAGAATGAGTTGAATTTAGAGACTCACAGATCTCCTGAGGGCAATTGGACCAAAACACCTACAGAGGAAACTAGAAGTGATAAACGTTCTCGAACTTACTTTTCTAAACCTGCTACTTCTCAGCCGGCTAGCTTGCCTTCGGGAGATATGTCAAAATGCAATGTGACAGCCATTCGTTTGTGCAGCTCTATTGTGATAGAGGATCCCAAGAAGCAGGCATCAGTGTGTCTAAATGTTCAGAGCTGTGCCAACGAGGGGCTGCCAGCCGAGTCTCCTACTGCTGGCGAGAAACCCCTCATTGCCATTCACCCAGATACTCATCAGGAAAGCAAAAAAAGTCGGCCCGATGTTCTCCCCTTTCGCCGACAAGATTCTGCTGGGCCAATATTGGATGGTTACAGGTCGCGGAGATCCTCCTCTTCCTCAGTAACCCCGACTTCAGCCAACTCTTTGTACAAATTTTTACTGGATGACCAAGATTATGCCATCCATGCTGACAATGTGAATCGTCACGAAAATAGAAGATATATTCCCTTCATGCCAGGTACAGGCCGGGATATTGACACAGGATCCATTCCAGGTGTAGATCAATTAATTGAAAAATTTGATCAGAAGGTTGGCTCTCAGAGAAGAGGGAGATCTGGGAAACGGAACAGAATTCATCCAGATGATCGCAAGAGGTCTAGAAGTGTAGATAGTGCCTTTCCTTTTGGTCTACAGGGAGACTCTGAGTACTTAGACGAGTTTAGCCGAAACTTGGGTAAATCAAACGAACATCTCCTCAGACCATCTCAAGTTTGGCAGCAGAAGCCCCTGTCTCGAGATCGCCGCCTGCCTTCCGGTGGGAAACACACCATGGTAGGACAGACGTCTGGGAAACTGCAGGAACCAGGTCAGGATGCTCTCGATGGACAGCCCGGGCCTTCACAGTTCAGTAATGCAAGCAAAGGTTATGAAAATAAAGTTAACAAAGACAGTGGGATGAAGAGACCTCTCACACTCTCAGCCCAGAATAAAAAGGAGGAAGAAATAAAAACAGCAACTGCCACGGTGTTGTTACAGAATCAGGCTGCGGCCACATCGCCTGATTCAGGAACGAAGAAAATTTCTATCAAGACAGTATCCTCTGTTACAAATACTCAGGTAATTCTCATGTGACAAATGGCTTTTTTTTTTTAGGCAATTGGCATTAAGTGCCCAGCGTCACACGGCTAGTGTCAAGTGTTGGTTTAAGGCTGGATTTGAACTGAGGCCGTCCTGACTTCAGGGCTGCTCTATATCAACTGCACCACCTAGCTGCCCCGCAAATGGCTTTTTCAAAATGGCTTCAGTGACAGGGCAGGACAGGGCAAAGAGCAGTGAGTCAAAGGACTTGGATTCGTATCCTGCCTCCCCTACTCACTATTTGTGTGACCTTGGGCAAGTCACTGAAACTCTGGGCTTTTGTTTCTTCATTTGTAAAATCTGGGGGTTGGACTAAATGCACCCCAGGTCCCTTCTAACTCTACTCCTATGTTCCTATGATCCTTTATGGGAACAGGGAGTCAATAAAATATATGTGAAATTAAGTACATTTTGACTGTATTTAAAAAAAAACATTAGCCTAGGTTTGACAGCTTGAAAACTTCACATAGTCAGGGCTCCTAGTATTACATATAGATATAATGGTTAAAGTATATAATCATACATAGATTAGGGATAAACAATACCTACTTTATTTCAAGATCTTGTGATTTTGTTGATAATCATGGACACAGATTGTGACCCTTCTCTGAGGTGGTAACTAGTCTTTGACATTTTCCATGACTAAAAATTCGTTACCCTGCAGCTGGCCTGAAGATGAGTTTCTCTGAATTTAGCTTGTCTTTCAGATCAGACAATACAGATTATAACCAGACCTGTACCCAAAGCTTTACCAGTTTGGTCAGAACTGCCAGAATTCATTCTTTTCTGTCATAATCTTTGAGAACCCAGGGTTACCTCCATGTTCTTGAGGAATTCTAATGGAGGATAGACAAATAGCAATTATTATTTATTATCATATTATATAATCAATTATTAATTATACTATAATTATATTACAGTGGTCCAGACCATAGTAAACATCTCCATATGTCAGTCATTAATTACACATCAGTGGATTTTTAAAAGATTTTATGTATGTAGGTACATATGGGCAAACCAATTGGGTTGTTTTCCCAGTTTCATTTAAAGAGCGAGTATGTATATCTACACATACACATACACATAAATATTCATATACGTATAAACACATAAATGTAATTATCTTTCTGTCACCTATTTTTGTGACAGTATAGGGTAATCAAGATTTTTCAGATGGGAAGCACACAGAGGTATGTAACCTTATGGAGATTTAATCTTTAATGGTGAAGGGATAGGGCAGAAGTGGTGGGTGCATGTGTATTTTCCCCTTTCCATCCACTTGTACGTTATTTGTCTTCCTTTCTCCCCAGTCTCCACTGAGATCAGCCAGATCTTTATACAGGAGATGCTCTTGAACCAGTCAGATTGTTTGGATTGTAGGAATTTGTTTAATATGGTAAGAAAATAAGTATTTCCTTTAGCAAGAGAAGAAGCTAAAGACTAACAATTATGCTTAAGGGTGTGCATTAAGTGGTGAATTCTTGAGCCCTTTCTAAGGTTCCTTTGAAACTTCAGGAAGGGAAGTCATCAATTATGCTACCCTGTGGGCATCTTTGACCAGAGAGTTCCCCAATGCTCAGAGTATACATTGCCACTTAGTTTTTTTAAGATCTCAAAGGTCTGTTTTTATCCCAGAAAAATAAGTTTTGTTGCTGCTTCTGTTATGTTCAGTGATGTTTATGTTTCCTTGGCAAAAAGAAATAAAAGCCCCCTAAAAGTAACAAACCATCCCATCCCCAAACCCTCAATTTTGTGGTATTTTCAGCTTGAATTTCTTTGCTTTTATTCAAGTACTCAGCACTTAGATTGCTCTTAGAATTTAAGACTAATAAAATAAATGCTGTGGTTCAGGAGACTACAGACTGGAAAGCTCTAGAAGCTGGCATTTTTTCAGACAGATTGAAGTATAATTTTCAGTCTAATAATCAATCCCATTACTAACAGTGTGGGAACCCTTTCCAAGAGGTCTCATTTTTGGTGAGAGAGAGAAATCGTGAAGGAAAAAAAAATGACATTTCCCCCCTAAAGCTTTCCCAGTATATGAGAAGGCTATAAGAAATGACAGGTTGGTGTTTTGGTTTTTTCTTAGTTTTAGATAGCACATACTAATAATAATATTTATATAGCACTTTGAGGTGTGCAAAGCGCTTTACAAATATCTTATTTCATTCTTACAACAACCTTGTAAGTATTAGTATTATCTCCATTTTTGAGGCCGAAGGGAGGTTAAGTTGCTTGCCCAATATAGTTAGTAAGTGTCTGAGGCTGACTTTGAATTCTGGTCTTCTTGACTCTCAAATCTCATACTCTAAACACTGTGTCATTTACCTGCCTCCATGGAATGTAAGAAGTTTGATGCGATTCCAAAAAAAACCTGTGAGGTAATTGGAAAGTACTTGTTACAGGAATTTAGAGAGACAGTAGGAAAATATGTAAATCTGAAGTTGCTTCTGGGTAATTCGGAGCTATAGCATGTTAGAGGGGGAAGGGACATTACAGGTCAACTAGTCCGAGCCTTTCACATAACAGATGAGGAAAGTTCAATGTTGTAATAAACCTAAAGGGCAAATGTATTCTGCTCAGGGGATGTTGATAAGTTCCCTAGGTTGAAGGCAAAGAACTGAAAGTATTTTTTGAAGGTAAAAAGTAGAAACTTTCAGATACTCTGAGACAATGACAGATAAATTAAAAGTCTTTAAAAATTTTGCTGATTACTTGTTCTACCCTTCTTACTTTGGGTTCTGTAATTACCTCCTCTCTTTCAAGGGTTAGAGTTTGATCTCATCTAGAGTTCTAGAAGTAACTTTGATTTGTACTTTTATCAATATTAATGGGTTTTTTTTAGTCTTTAAGAAATTTGATGACTTTTTATACAATTTTTCTCCTAATATTACCCCCTCCCCCACATACACATTTAGCCCTCTCTTGCAACAACAACAACATAAAAAGTTTAGCAAAGCTAGCTGACAAAACCATTACATTTCTTAGGATTATAGATTTTGAGCTGAAAGGGACCTTAGAAGACCTTATGAAGTCCAACTTTTCACTTTATAGATGAAGAAACAGCCTGAGAGAGATTAAGTGACTTGCCCAAGGTCCCAAAGCTCATGTCAGAAATAGAATTTGAACTCTCTTCCTGACACTAACATTGTACCTGTTGTACCATATAGTTGCCCAAAAAAGTGCCCTAGCATCTGACATTTTCATGAAACAATCTGCACCTGTAGACCTACACTATTACCTAATATCATTAATGGTTCTTCAGTCTAGAACACAACCATGTTGTAGTGAAAAGGGTACTGGATCTGGAATCAGTACACCTGTGTATCTTATGATTTTCATGTTTATTCTCTTTGCAAAGTTGTACTTACCTTTATTGCCCCCCAAACTTAACTTTGTCCAGGTGTCTGAGGCCCTTTCCCCTTTCCCAGCCCTTACCTTCCATTGCCTAAGTAAGCAATGCCAGATTTGGTGAACAAATTTCTTTTCCTTTCATTCCGTTTTTTTTTTTTAAATTTTTAGGCATTTCAATATTGTTGTCCCCATTCAGGCTTCTCTTTGCCACCCTGTTCTTGGAAATCAGAATCTAACACTGTATTAAAGTTTTGGATATTGAATATATTTTAATAAGGCTAAGAATCTGAAGAACTGGTGCTGGGGAAAGTGGCACTGTTAGATCTTCACCTCCTTAAGAAAGAGTGTGTTCAGGAAGAATGTTTATGACCTTAGTTATTACAATAGAGAAAACAAAAGAATATGGAATAGCCTCAGTTTGGGAGGGAGAGGGAAGGAGGACAGGGTGGTCACAATGTGGTGGTCACAATGAAGATCCTTCATGAAACTTAACAAGAAATTGCAATTTTGAGACACATCAAGAACGTACTTTCATTCTGCAGACTTACCTATGATCATGTAATGACCAATGTTATTTATGTTTTAGGCCACACCTGACTTGTTGAAAGGTCAGCAAGAGCTTGCTCAACAAACGAATGAGGAGACGGCTAAGCAGATCCTTTACAATTACCTCAAAGAAGGGTAAGTGACTTCATTTATCTGAATGTCATAAGCCATGTAATTTTTGATGTGTATTGTTAACTTGGTTGTTGTCAGAATGCTTTGGAATATATTTTCATGCCCTTCAGCCATGTAGATGCCATATGATGATACTGTATAAAAGGAATATAATTAAAAGGCTGAAGTTTTTAAAACAGTATTTAAAATTTCAATAGGAGATACTTCCTCTCTCTAAAATGAATATTTTTTAATTAAAAAAGCATAGCAGAACTATTATTTCAAGTGCAAATGTACAATTTGTAAGCTTGTTTACTAATCAGCTATTCTTTGCAAAATTGGAATTAGCATCATCATTTTCTGAATCTTTCTTGTCTCAAAAAGTTAAATGTCAGTTACCAGGTTTCAGGCCCCAGTTAGCAACTTTAGCTATGTAATTATAAGCAAGAGATTTGTTAGTTCTTTCCTTCTCTCATTCCTTATCAGGTTTGCTAAAGAGCTATTCTATATAGCTTAAACAATAGGATCTAGAGTCTGAAGGGACCTTAGAGGTCATCTATTAAAATTCTGTCATTCTACAAATGAGGAAAATTTGTTTTCATCTCCTTAGCACTTAGCAAAGCACAGAGCCTGGTATCTGGTAGGTGCTTAATAAATGCTTGTTGATTGGTTGAAGGCATGAAGCTATAAGCAGCTTGCCTGAGGAATGGTCCTATGGGTTGTCATTAGCAGAGTTGGGATTCAAATCCAAGCCTTTCCTCTTCCACTGTTGTCTCTCAGTGTCACGTAATTAATTGTTTGTTCTCTAAAACACTGCTTCAGAGTTAATAGAAAGCTCCAAGAGCGAGTGAACTTTCCTTTTGGGGAGAATGTATGAACCATTTGAACTAAAGACCAAAATGCCAAGTTTTCACTTAAGATTATTCTTCAACTTTGGGTGCAGCTCCTGCCTAATTAAAACTGGGCACATCTCCCAAATTGAGCTGTAACAGAAACAACAAATTAAAAACAAATACCCTGACAATTGGGACACTTTGAAAGACCATACCTATGTCAGTAAACTTAGCAAAATCTATAGCTTCTTGTAGCATTTTATAAAAGACTGCCTTATGGCCATACTGCATTGGATTATTTTACATTCCTTTTTAAGTGTAGTACTAAGTCTCATAGAGCAAGATCTAGTGAGTAAGAATACTCCACTTGGAGTCAGGAAGAGATGGATTCAAATTCTATCCATCATTTATAGACTTTGCAACCCAGGGCAAATCACCCAGATTCTATGTGCCTTAGGCAATTCCCTGTTACTTAGCTACTACACCACTGAAAAGTTGAAATCAGCTTCATTGAGTATGGAATGCTGGGAATTCCTCACAGGCCCTTACTCTCCTGTTCAGTTGTTTTTCAGTTGTGTCCAATTCTTCATGGCCCCCTTTGAGGTTTTTTTGGCAAAGATATTGGAGTGGTTTGCAATTTCCTTCTCTAGCTCATTTTACAGATGAGAAACTGAGGCAAACAGTGACTTGCCCAGGTTCACACAGCTAATGAGTGTCTGAGGCCAGATTTGAACTCATGAACCCTTATTCTGCTAAGGCACAGATTTATCTCCATCTGAAATTAATCGGTGCTATCACATAAGGTTTATTTATGCTTTCTCTGTTTTTCAGGAGCACTGATAATGATGATGCCACTAAGAGAAAAGTAAACCTGGTCTTTGAGAAGATTCAGACGTTAAAATCTAGAGCAGCTGGAAGTGCACAAGGAAACAATCGAGTAAATTGGGATTTGTTACATCTAATATAGAATATTAGTTGGAGAGATGAAAAAGTGTACTTCCCTTCAGGCTACCGTTTTATTTATTGGTGCAAGCAGAATAAGGTGCTTTAGAGATCGTTTGGCCAGTTCTCCTACCTGATCTATTAATTTCCTCTCACTCCATACCAAGGGAAAAACTGTTGCTTGGCTTTTTCTTGAATATTTGGAGGGAAAAAGAAATCACTACCTCATGAGGAAGTCCATTGAACAATTCTGTTAGAAGAGTCTTTATATTGAAATTAAACCTAAATCCCTGTAATTTTCAGTCCCTGGTTTGAATCTTTGGGTAGCTATAAGAGTTTAATCCCTGTTCCATGTAAGAGCCCTTCACGTGTTTTAAGATAATTATTCTAAGTCTTTTCATCTACAAACTAAACAAACCCATTTCCTTCAACAGTTCCTTGTTTGTCATGATTTTGAAACCCTTTACCACTGACTTAAAGTCACCCGTAGATGCACCCCAATTTGTCAATAGACCCCCAGGCCATCATTGTTCCTCTTGATATGTGTTGTCTCAAACTGGATATTCTTGTAGCCTGAATGTATTACACTGACCATCATATCACACTGTTGGGGGAGATGTACAATTGGAGCAAGGTGGAAGGTAGGGCAGCTGAGATAGAAGTCAGTATTAGTAGGCACTTAATAAAGGTTTCTTGATTGATCCATTGACTGGAACTTGGAGTTCATGACACCTTCAAAAAGGTTTTTGTTTCTGTAGAACATAGTAAATTTACCCTTTTCTTTTACTTGTGTACTTAAAAACCCATTTATAGGATTTTACATTCATTTTTTAATTCAGCAAACTTTATTCATACTGTGGATAGAAAACTGCTAGATCCTGGGGGAGGTAAAAAATTCAGATAAGGTATAATCTGTGCCCTCATGGAGGTTACAGTCTTCTCAATGCCTTTTATTTCTATTACATTTCATCTTCTTGTTAAGCCTGTTGGAGATCTTTTGGGTCCTGATTCGGCCATCTGGAATATTTGCATCCTTTCCTTTTCATTTTTCTGGAATTTAAGGTTTTCAAGTTATGTGAAATAAGAGAATATAATCTGTGCTCTTAGGCCCTATGGAAGTGGGACAAAAGAGAAGAGAGCATTTAAGAGATTGCAGCTGAGGAGAACCCATGATGAAACCCAGCCTGGACAGCCCTCAAGCAGGACTCCCTGGTTTTTTCACTGCCACTTCACAGTTTTACCATTTTACCGGCCTCAGATACTTGACGCTTACGAGCTGTGTGACCCTGGGCAACTCATTTGCCCTTCAGGGTGTTCTCCTTGGGAAAGTAGTCTTTCCTTTGGATTTTTCTTGTGGTACATTCAAAACCCACCCCCTCAGTCTCTCTTAGCTACACACAGAATTTTTCTGGTCTAGATTCTCTTTCTTGACTCAGAGTTCCCCTACAAATAGCTGAGAGAGAATGTTTTGCTCCCACATTTATTCAAGATGCTTTCTAAACTTAGTTCCCTTTAAAAACCTAAAGATCTGTAACTGTATTGTCCTCCTACCAACAAATTCATCTCACTTGGAGCTCATGTATAAATTTCCAGGTTTCATTTCTTTCCCCAGTGTTAGCACAAACATGAACATATCTAAAATCCAAATACATTTTGATTTCTCATGCTGCAACCTGACTGTTAGTCTCAATAATCATGTGATTTGGGGAGGGGTGTGTGTTGGGTTTTCTTTGTTTGTTTACACTGGCATGAGATACCAAAGCTGAAAAAAACTGTAAGGCCTGTGTCCTCAGGTCACTGAATAATTGTGGAGATAATGTGGAGAGAGGGTTGGAATGACGGGTAGTCTGTGTTTTGGCCGTCACTGCTGGGAAGAAGAAATTGTGGAGAGGATGAATTGGCATTTGTCCTCAGAGGTGGGGATAGCTCATTTCGCTCTCATCCTGGGCTTGGCACCTCTGTATTTGCATTCCCTCTTGGGGAGGGTAAGGACTAATGAAGTTGTACATCTGGGGAGACCAGACTTTCTTTTTGCAAACTGTTGTTATGGTGCTTAATAGAAGTAACTGAAGGGTGTGTGGTATTTAGAAGTCATCACTTCGGTGAAAGGTGGTGGGGTGTGTCGGAATTCAAGCAGGCCAGGACAAAAGAAAAGAACAGGCAGGCAGGTGAACAATATGGTCTGTTCTGAGGGTTCTTTTCTTGCCTTGTCAAGCAACCCCAAACCAAATGAAACCAACTCTACCTCCCCGTGCCAATTTGGTCAGGTCGAGGGAGACTAAGCGAAGCTCTTTCCGTTTCTCCTTGGTAGAAAGACACTGGGATGAAGAAGTTTCATAGGAAAAGGCAAAAAATTAAATTTTACCGATGTCAGAACCTGATTACCTTATGCCAGGATTATTGCTATCATATTTTAAAGATTTTTCTACAGTCTCTTCACTCTGTATTCCAGTCTGCCAGATCATAGGTTTATAGATCTAGAGCCGAGAGAGGCCTCAGAGGCCATTGAATCCAACCTCTCCTTTTACAGATGAGGAAACTGAGGGAGGGTGACTATGACTTATACAGGTAGTGAGTGTCAGAGGCAAAATTTGAACCTAGGCTGGGAAGTGGCTAGAGAGCTGAGCCTGGAGTCAGGAAGATGCATCTTCCAGAGTTCAGATGTGGCCTCAGACACTTACTAGCTGTGTGACTCTGGGTAAGTCGCTTAGCCCTGCTTGCCTCAGTTTTCCTTATCTATAAAATGAACTGGAGAAGGATATGGCAAACCACTCCAGTGTCTTTGCCAAGAAAATTCCAAATGGTATCACTAAGAATTGAACATGACTGAAAACAACTGAACACCAACAATCCTGTCTGCCTTCAGAGCTGGCGCTCTTATCTACAGCACCACTCTGCCTCATTCTAAAATATTGCTTTCATCAAATCATTTCCTCCCAACAAAATATTCCTCCCTTTGTCTTTAGGATTAAATCCAAATAGTTCTTAAAGTATTTCAAGAGCAGTTATAATCAGTCCCTCCTTATCTATTCATTCTTCTTCAGCAACATGCCTGGTCTCTAGCCTGGCTGGTCTCATCCAGGAGATGAGAGAAGTCTTTTAGCTTTCCTCTTTCAGTTCTCCATCAAGCGAATGAGACCAGCCTTTGTGTCTTGCTTATGTTTTTTCATAGTGCCATCTTCCCAGTACATAAGAAACCCATTCCCATGTCCTTTCTACTTGTCAACGACCAACTCAGAGTCACGTGAATCTTCTTCTTAGTCTGCATTAGCCTACGCCGATGTCTTCCTTCTCTGAACTCTTGTAACACTCACACACTACTTTTTTGGGGAATTTAACTCTGTCCCATAACAGCTTTTAGTTCTAATGTGTTTGTCCTGTCTCTCCAGTGAGATTGTGAGTTTCCTGAAAGGATTGTGCTTTCCAAAAGTGTTCACTGTGCTATGCACTTAGTACATATGATAAGATTATTTATATTGAAATCCGGAGTGATAATTAAGAGCCAAACTTGAGGGAGAGGAAGAAGGGAGACGGGGAAAATTCTGTGCAGAAGGAAAAGGGGCTGCCACTTTATCTCCTTCATAGTATGCATTCATTGAAAGAAAGGAGAAGCTATCTAGAGACCCTGTGATTCAGTAGATAGAGAGCTGTATGTGATCTGACTTGGGACAACCTGTGTTCAAGTTCCACCAGGCACAGATATTGCCTTGGTGGCACTAGAAAGGCCACTTAAAGTCTTAGTGACTGAGGCAACTCTTTTGGATTATAAATTGAACGGCAGTTGAGGTCAGAGGAAGTTCCCTACACCAATTCCTGGTTTCCAAACCCAGAAAGACACAGTTGAAAGTCTGTCTGGAGCCTGTGTTTCTGGATCCTAGGGATTGAAGGGAATCAGAAATATACTCCCCATTAAATGTAAGTCCCTTGAGGGCTGGAGCTGTTTCTTATTTATTCTATCCTCATATTCTCTTGCACTAAATGCTTAACAAATGATTATATCAATAGAGTTGGTGGCTATTTAGCCTATGCTCCCCATCCCCGGCCTTCAGACTACTCTGAACCTGGGACCATTTTTCCTCCTATGAGAGGGACTGAGAATACCTTACAAAACAGCAAATATTCAGGAAATAGAGCACTGTTTCCCTGCTTGAAATTGATTGGTGAGGGAAGCATAAGCCAGTTTTCTTCTTTAGTTTGGGTTATTAAAATAAGTGGTTCAGATTCTTCTGGTATTATTAATAACCCTGTTTTGGTATAATTTTTCACATTCCCAGACCTAGCCCATGAAGTACCTCATTGCAAGTGAAATACACAACCCAATAACGTACTCAGATTCAGAAAACTGAGAAAACATAGAACTATCTGCCCTTTTGGCCTGCAGTTACTACTTTGTTCTCTGCCTTCATGGTTCCCCTTGGGTCCCGAATGCCACCCCCCCCCCCAGTACATATGAGTAGCACACTAATCACCTTGAGGTTATGCCCAATTACTTTTGAGTGATATCCATAATACTATTTTTAGAGATAAAAAATATGGAGAGAGCTGTGTTGTAATTCAGAGTTGAACTGGCCAATGACATTTTCTATGAGTCTTATCTTCAATAATGTTTTTCTAGCATCTGGGTGATCTGGGTGATCTAGCTTTATGGAGGGAAACAGTTCTCAGAGAAGAGAATTCACTTTACAAGATGGATTTGTGCTGTGTCCTTCTAGAGCAGTGGTTGAGCTACTTTATGTTGGGGTTAGGTCACAAGGTGAGCAGAGGCAGGGGCCAGGATAGAAGATGAAAAAGTACCCTGGACATTAAATTGACATCTCTCTACATATTTATAGGTTTCTGATTCTTCAGCTGAAGTCAGAGAACTACTGGAACAGAGAAACAAACTGAACAGGGAGGTTTCAGAACTTCAGAAACAGCTCAATCTAGAAATTAGGGTATGGCTTTTTAAAAAATGTTTATCTTGAAGATGTATGATATGTGCTGAAGTGTATTACTTTAACCTTTTAATTTAGAAGCAGTATTGGATGTGGAATTAGGAACACCTGGGTTTGTATCTTCCTTGAGACAACTTAGTAGCTACGTAAACACAGGCAAATCACATAATGTCTCTGAAGTTTCCTCAACTAAAATGGGGGTAATAAGACCTAAGAGGCAGTGTGGTGTAGTGGGTAGAGTTCTAAGTCCTGCCTCCGACATACTAGCTGTGTGATCATGGGCAAGGCACTTAATCTCTTATCTCTGGCCCCCCTGCCCCCAAAAATACCCAGGACTGTCAGTTGAGGATAAATTTCCAGGATTCATTTATGGTAGTTTCTACCCTAGGAGTGCCTCCACACAGATAACAGCACAGTTTTCCCCAACATGATTGGTTTCAAAGGTCATAACTATGTTGCTTGGCATGAAATCATAGTTACTGCATAGTTTTGCACAGCCAATTAACCCAAATCAACTTCAACAAAGGAGTTTTCAGAATGTTGACTATACCAGAGTTTACGACGTCATATTTTCTCCTCTGCATCTGTGTTGGACAAAGAATAAGCCCTCTGAGATGCCAAGATGAAGGAAAGGTTGAATTGGTCAGAAAAAGAAAGTGTACTAACTTGTCCCTAACAACAGTTTCTGAGGCTTTGACTTTAACGTATGCACAAATGGCTTTTACCATTTGATTTGGAAGTTTGGAAGCAAATGAAAGATTCAAAGCTGGAATTATACAGAAAAGACACAATAAGCTGATAGTACAGAAAGCATTTCACTTTAGTAATGGAAGACAGAAGATTGTGAGGCAGATTGTGTGGTAGCCAGGTAGCCCTGGAATCAGGAATACCTGAGATCAAATCCCATTTTGACTTATTCTGGTTGTGAGACTTTGGCCAAGTCATTTAACTTCTCAGTGTCCCAGTTAATTCTAAGATTACAAGTTATAGAGCCGGTACCAGTCTGCATTTGTAGAATGTGTTTCCTTTTTTGGAATTCTCCAGACCATTGAAATGCCAGAGGTCTTCCAAAAATTAAAAGTAAAAAATTAAATAATAAGAGAGTGAAGAATAATGGGAAGTAAATTTTTTTGTTTCTTTCCCCGAACTCTCAGGTGTAGTAAGAATGGGTTGCCCATTTTGCTTTGTTTATTAACTAGTAGTAGTATTTAAAGAGATGGCATGGCTTAGTGGATAGAAAAACAGCTTTGGAACCAGGAAGATCTAGGTTCAGATCTAGCCTTAGATAATACTGTATGACCCTGGGCAGGTCACTTTACTTCTCAGGGCTCTGGCTAATTTTCTAAGACTATAAGTTGTGGAGAAGATGCCGCTCAATATCAGCAGGAATTTTCTCACCTATGAAGTTCTCTACACAGTGAAGTCATAGTTTCACTTCCTGTTCACTATTAATTCTTCTGTATTCCTTTCCAGGCACCTACCTCAATTATGTAGTAAATTCAGTTGTTATAGTTGGAAGGATATAGGTAAGGAAAGGTCTTTGAAGTCTTTGAAGCAGGTTTTTTGTTAGATGTTACTAATATACAAGGAGTTGCATGCCTGCTCATACTTCAAAAATTAATATTTGTTTCACATTAGAATCAACAAAACATCAAAGAAGAGCGAGACCGAATGAAAGCCAACCTTGAGGAGCTTCAAAGCCAACATGAGGAGAAGGAGAAGGAGGACATCGACGCTGCAGAAACGTTTGGATGACAGTGAAATGGAACTCAGGAAAAATCTAGAGGAGTAAGCTCTCTAGCCTGCTATCCTACCTGAGTTTTTCTGGAGATGTATAGGCAAAGCTGTAGCTAAGCCTGTATCTAAGGTGTTTTTTATTTTAATTCTCCTTGCGCAATGATGAGTCTAGAAACAAGTGGCTATATAAGTGAGAGGATCTAATTGTTCTCACACTTTGAAACAGATTTTATCTATCTGGTTAAGGTTCAGACCACATACATTTAATATCCAAGTGCATACCGGCTAGCTCTGAGATGTATCTAAAGACTCATATTATAGAGCCCAAGACCAAGCATGTGAAGAGTGCTTGGCTAATGGAAGACTAAAAGATGTTAGTTTTTGTGTTTTTTTAAAAAAATGTGTATTGTTTTGGATTCTATGAGCACAATAACTTATGTTTCAACTCCCAAAGCCGAAAAAGTACAATCTTTTCTAAGATGGGCATTTCTAATGCCCTTCTATAACTATAACAATAACTAGTTTTTACTCTTTGTGGTGAGAGCTTAAAAAAAGTACCATGTTATTTATCAATTCAATCATCATTTCATTATTGTAACAATATATTAATATCTGATATTTTTAGAATGTATTCAAATGAAAAATTTTATAGAAGGAAGTGGTACATGTTGAAGGGCTATTGAGAATCCTAGGGAATATAATCATTATCATTAATAAAAGATTTTTCAGTGCCAGTGAAATATGTGACATGGCCTTTTAGTCAGCATTATTCAATATGTATACCAAGAGGGAGCATGGAGTAGGATAGGAAGGGCCAGAAGATCTTGTTTTTTTATCCTAGCTCTTTATTACTTGTGTGACTATGAGATATGTCATTTAATCTCTCAGCCTCTGTTTCCTTATCTGTCAAATAAGGAAGTTGGGCTAGAGAATCTGCAAAATCCCTCCCTGACCTAAGTACTTTGATCCTATAGTTTTAGTAGATATGGTCTCTGTGCCTTCACAGAGTTTACATAGTCTTGGTTAGAAAAGAGGTTTCCTTGAGGAAAAGATGAAAAAGATGCTTACTGGGGGTTTTGAAGATATCAAAAATGAGAAGAAGGGGGAAAAAGGAAGGGAACTGTGGAATGTAATCATGTACCTAGGAGGGAGGGTCCCATTAGAAAAATGGGCATTACTATAAAGGTAATTCATTCTCTTCTACCACTTTCTCATTCCCATCCCTTGAATAAAAGTCAGAATTCAGGTTACTTCTTCTTTGAGGAAAAAAAAATGTCAAGACCTATCCTTTGCTTGGCTGTTTCTTTTTTGATAGAACAGACTTGCTCCTGTTCCCTAGAATTCAATTGGTCAAAGTTTGATGACTTTACAAGAAACTTGAAGTGTTCTTACTTAGTGCAGCAAAGGAGAACACAGGGTTGCTTTCGGTCTTTACGAGTATTTTATGTTATATGATCAAGGCTATGACAATAAACAAAAGCACTTTGGTGAAACCCCTGACAGTGTTTTCCTTTCCCTGATAAGGTTGTTTCAGGTGAAGATGGAACGGGAGCAGCACCAGACAGAGATCAGAGATCTCCAGGACCAGCTCTCAGAAATGCACGATGAGTTGGATAATGCAAAACACTCAGATGATGGGGAGAAGGGAGCCCTGATTGAGGTGAGAAGTACAGTTACATCAAGGACTTTATGCCAAAGAAATCCCTCTTGTGGCCTGTGTAGGAATGGTCTTCAGGTAGCAGAACTGTGCCTTACCTGGCATTCCATATTCTGAGTGAGAATAAATTAGTAATAAATGTGTTTCTTAAAAATTCAGGACTCTAAAGCTAGGTGAATACCTAAGTTTAATAAGCACTCTAAACTTCCTAGGTTGGTTTATTCTTTCCCACTTCTTCCTAATTATTTAGCATTTGTATTAATCAGTTAATTAGTAAATACTGCTGAGCACTTACTGTTTACCAGTGCTATTAGTTGTTGTGAATGATGGGAGATAGCATTAGGGACTAGACCTGATTTCAGATATAAGAGGAAAAGAAACTACTGCTGACAGTCAGCATTATCTCTGCAACTTCTAAGTCTGAGAGAATTGCCTAGGACAGACATGTCAAACTTAGTGACATGCAGCCCAGAAAGTGAGGCATGAACCAGATTAAAATATAAAACAGAATAAATAAAATACAGTACAACATAGATAATGTTAATTTGTGGTTTTCTAAGTCAATATGCAGCCTGCAGGGATGTGTTTCTATTTGAATTTGATACCACAGGCCCAATATGCATCAGAGTTGGGACATGAATCCAAGGTTGCTTGGCTTTGAGACTAGGTCTCTATTCACTGCACCATACCTGGCTTGTGGGATATAGATAATCAGTACAATACTTCCATACTTTAGACAATAGAAATTTTGTTTGTGTGAGTACTGTTTCCACTAACACAGATCATGGGCCTTCTAAAACTTAGTCCTTGAGCATTTCTGTGGCCAAAAAATTCAACCTCATGCAGAGAACATGGTGATTAGTCTCTTTAAGTTAGCTAGACTAGGCTTTGGATCATATGAAGTCCATTACCAGGCCTTTACTTGAAGTCTTTCTGGGTTTTATTCTTACTGTGTAGAGCAGAAATGGTTTGTTTCTTCTATATAATATGCCTGCAATTAGGAGAGTCTGTGAGGGTTATAGTACCTTCATGATCTGAATAAGGCTTGTTTTTAGGCATGGGGAAGTAGGAGGGGTGGGGAGAGACAGATTGATTTTCCCACAGAGTTACGTTTAAAACAGCTGAACATAAATAGAAACTATTATGGCAACATTCCACTTATTTGGAGGCTAGACTTCTGGTAATTTTGGCTGTCTGGAATGGAGCTGAAACCTGTATTTGGCATTTAAAATCCTTCTCAACCTGGCCTCTTCCTACCTTTTCAGTCTTCTTAAGCTTAAGTCATTTCCTCTGGCTTACTTGTGGTTTCTTGAATATGACTTTATCTGCTGTTATCTGTGACTTTGCACTGGCTATCCCCCATGGTTAGAATGTTCTTCCCCCATCACCTCCACTTTCCCCTCCCTACTCCCCCACTCCCCAACCCCAGCTTTCTTCAAGGCTTGCCTCAAATCTCATATTCTGTAGGTATTTCTCACTTCCTCATGCTGTTAATACCTTCCACCTGAGGCTGCTTCCATATACTTTGGCTATCTCTTATGTACACAGTTATTTGTGTATTTTCTTCCCCATTATAATGTGAGGTCCTTGAGGGCAAAGTTCATGCCTTTCTATATATCTCATTGGCACTGAGTAGCGTGCCTGGCCTATAGTAAGTGCTTAATAAGTGTTTCTTGACTGCTTGACTTAATTTTCTTTCTCCTGTGCAGGTCTTCAATGGTAGCATGTTGTATCCTACTAATGCTCTCTGTTAACTTTTCCATTGCTCTTTGGGTGACCTATAATTTTAATTCTTTGAAGAGTGTGATAATAATGGATTCTGAGCATCATTGGAAGGTGATATTTTTTGAATATTGAAGTTGAAAGGATGGGTTTTTGTTTCAAGGCAAAGCTGGTGCCATTAAAAGCACAACAGAATATCCCCAAATAATCTGTCTCCAGTTGGACTATCTAATTGTTAGGGCAGAGATCATAATCATTACCCAGTCAGAACAAAGAACCAAAAAGAAAAGAAGACATTGTAAACAAATGAGGTAGCTCCAGTCTGACCTTTTAAACAAGGTGTTGATGGATAAAATGGGAAATGGATAAAAGAAGACATTGACACAAACTCATCATTCCCTAAGGAAGTTTAAACATGGTGGATCAGTTATAACACTAAGGAAACCAAAGGAACCTAGCCAGGGAGCACTTAGATTTCTTTGCCAAGCATTGAGATGTGATATCTAAGGGCAAGATTAGTTTCTAATATAAACTACTTTTAAAATTTTCTGTGTGATAATAGTAGAAGATTATGGATGGCAGTATTGTCCCAAAAAATACAAAGGAAAAAAACCCCATAGCACAGAACTGTGGAGTACAAAGTAAGTTTGTAGAAAACTTAGTGAGAGACTCAACCAAGCCAAAATACAAGGACATTTAGGCCAAATGTGGAAGGAAGGGCAATGAACAAACCCATTTCCAGAAAATGAAAAGTATCTAAAGTTTTTTAAAATAATAAACACTTTTCTACATCAGTAACAGTGTGGCTACCAAATATAAACTCCAATATCATATACTCCTTGGTATACTAAATGTAGAAGTAGTGGTGGCAATAAAGAAAATTGGAATGGGAAGAGAAACTGGTTTAGAACAATAGTACACAGAAGAGATCCATGCTAGAGTGGACAGAATTTTGAGGATGTTGTAGGATTAGTCCTTAAGGTACCTGAAGGGAAGAGGAAACAAAAAGTATTTATCTAAATAAATAAAATAAAATAAACCCGACATTATTACTGAAAAAAGGGAATAAAGAAAATAACAATAACTATGGGTTAATTCCCTTCCATTCCAAGTTATATAAAATCTCTGAGAGGATAATCTGCACATGTTTTGAGGGCATCTTTGAAGAATGTGTGGAAAAAGGAACAAAGCAACCTTTCTCAAAATATATTCTCCATTGCATCAGGTCTTTATAGTCACATAAATGAATAAAAGGACATAGAGAATAGAAGACCCCCATAAGTATTGCATTTTCAAATAAATGAGGCATAATTTAGGAGTTAGGGAAGTAGAAAAAAAGGCAATTAATTTAGGTGCAATCCTAGTTGTTAACAATCTTAACTTGTCCTTTTTTTTTATAGTTTAAAAGAAAAACCTGTAACTCCCTCCTTTTTTTTTTTTTAACAACTTTCCTGTCAGCATCTGCTCAGATGTTTGAAGTTAAATTTCTGAAAATTACTTCATAGGACCAGCTATCTTGTGGTCTCAGCATCCCTCTTGCCTGGAATCTGTATCCTAATGGACTTTAGCTTGCTTCTCTTTAAGATGCTAAGCTATTTTCTTCTATGATCACTTAGGAAAGGAAGGAAAAGTTTAGGAGAGCTTGTTACTTGCCCTATCTGACTTGGACATTCTTCTAGCTGTGTGTTCTGGGGTAAATCAGTTAGTCTTTCTGGGCCTCACTTTCTGTGTCATTAAGGTAAAGAAGTTGTCTTAGATGACCTCCAAGATCTCTTCCATTTATAAGATTTTGTATATATCTATCTACTTTTCTGTCTCTCTATGGAGCCCAGATCCTGAACTCTTATCTGGTATTTCCTTTTATTTACAGTGAATGATCTATAACAATAATCTATCACACTCATAAGATTAGATTCAAAAATATTTCTCATTCATCTGCTTTCTTTTCGATTCTAGTTACAAAGCTGAGAGACAGGGATTGGACCTCTGATTTTTATAGTATAGGGATCTCCCAAGTAAGGAACTGCCTTCTATCAAGACAGGTCAGCACCTTCTGAACAACTTGTAGTCTTAGCTTCCTAGGACACTGAGAGGTTAATTGAATTGCCCAAGGTTACACAGCTAGAATATGTTAGAGGTAGCTGTAGAACCCCAGATCTTGGCTTCCAGGATACCTTCCTATCTGTTAAGCTATACTGCTTCTCTTAAAACAACAACTCACACAGGTTGGTGCTAGTATTATCTTCATTTTACAGATAAGGGAATGGAGGCTGAGTTAAGTTAAATGACTTTCACAGGATCACATGAATAGTTAACCTCTGAATGAGAAATTTAAGCTACCCTTTAATAAAGCTTTTTAAACATACATAAAAATCTAATGAAGTTTTAAAGAAGGCATAAAATGTGGGCTTTCCCCCTTTGTAATTTATGTGTGTGTGTGTGTGTGTGTGTGTGTGTATCCACATGTTATATATACATATTGTACATTTATGGATATGTATTTATATTATGTCATCTCTGTGTACATATGTATGCTTATGTATATGTGTGTGTATGTATAAGTATATAAAAATATAAAGCCACAGTTATTTCTATGTGTTTTTCCTGTCTTTCCAATAATTTTAAAAATATTCAGGAGCAAGGACCTTGTTTTCCCATAGTTTCTGTCAAATTGTTTTGTAGAAAGCCGACTGAAGAATAGGTGAGAGCTGACACATTTTGATTGTTTCAGATGATCTAGATTGAATTTGCAACTTTAATTAGTTGATCCTTTTCATAGTTGCTCAGAACTTCCAGTCTTAGCCTTAAATTCATGTTTTTTTTTCAGTGGACCTTCCAATAGATCTATTTCTTTATCATTCTTCCAGTTCTGGACGTGAGGCAAAGCATAGCAAACTTTGGGCTGTACAGGACTTTGGGGTGGCAAGCTGATATGTACTAATAGTTAGCCTTTATGTGTAGGAAATTTTTTATTCTCAATTTGGATTTCATGAAAGTCAGCCTAAAATCTATTACACATTTTCCTTAACTTCTTATGTAGAATATAGTAAATTTAGTATCTTCTGAATGACTCAGGGTCATCAATTTGCACATTACTTAGACAGTCCTATGATAAGGGGTATGAGACAGAAGACCAAAAGGGCTAATTTCGGCTGCAGCTCTGAAACTTGCTTTTTTGGAAAAAAAAAATCCCTTTATCAGCTTGCTCTTTGGGTCATTTATCCATTTCCAGTAAAGATGGACTTAAGCAGGTGATTCCTGGGAAGTGTAAAATGGCTTACATTTCTGGAAGGTTAATAAGATTGAAGCAGTTTTCATCCAAGTAGGGTTTTTATCATCATCCAGGAAAAAAAAATATTTTTTTCTATTGCTTTTGACTTTTGAGCACCTTTGAAAATATCGTGCTTGATTTATGTTTTGCCGGTGATTTGTCACTGCAGTTTTAAATGCTCTCCTTTATCACCTCTGACACTTGGCCTAGAAGAAGCATCGCACCTAATTAGCACTTGGTGTTGATTTTGTCCACTTTCTACTTGTGACTTAGGTTCATCTTACTTTTGTTTACTTGTTTTTGGGTGCTCAGAAGATACTTCTTCACCCACAAGAAAGTTTCTCTCCAGAAAGATCTTGTGATCTTTAAGTGAGAGGACACCCTGGAGGTTCTGTTTATATTCCATTCATTTTCTGCCTTGGTGTTTCATTTTCCCTATTTTGATAAGCTTCAGGGATGAGTATTGATGCTATAATCTGGTTGGACTACTCTCATACAGTCCCTTTAAACAGCAATACCAGCCTTAGATAGTAACGTTTTGACATAGACCAGGCTATGAGTCGGCAGCCTTAATAAAGGCCAAGGCAGAACAAACCACACACATATCCTGGGAAAGATAAGTGGGGAAAGAGAGATATTTTGAGAAAACAAAACAATTGGGAAGTATGGTTACAGGAGATGGGCCAGAAGCAGGAAAATTGCTCTGAAGATCTAAGCGGGGGGCGTCAGGAATCTCTTCCCTCCAGGGAATCCAGAGAAGGTTTGGCAACCAGCAGGCAGCCACAAGAGTAGTGTAATTTAGAAAGGAAGATTCAGAGAGAGCTACAATGCAGTGTCCAAGGAGGGACCAACATCAGCTCATCTGACTAATTGCAGCAGCATTCAGGAAGAAAGGTTGTTTTCTAAGATCCCTTGAAAGAGCTGATGTCATGCTTGCCGAGAAACGTGGATTAGAATTTTTCATCAACTTATCAACACTGGCCAATTAGCTGACTTTAATATATTCTCAAAGGTACAGTGTAATGCGGCAGTTACACTGTACTCTGTATGTATCATAGGATTTTATTTTATTTTATTTTTTAATTTTTTAAATTTTTTATTATTTTTTGGCTAGGCAATGGTATTAAGTGACTTGCCCAGGGTCACACAGCTAGTAAGTGTTATGTGTCTGAGGTCTGATTTGAACTCAAGTCCTCCTGACTCCAGGGCTGGTGCTCTATCCACTGTGCCACCTAGCTGTCCCTATCATAGGATTTTAGAGGTGAGAAGGAACCTTAGAAATAATTTGGTACAGTACTTTTTAGTTTACAAATGAGGATGTGGAAGCCAAGAGGTTGAGTGACTTGTTCGCAGTCACACATATAGAAAGTTGAAGTTGTAGTTAAGAATTCTTTCCAATCTTATGACCTTTTCTCTGGGCACCACTGGGCATGTTAAGCTCTGTGGAAAAAATGTCCCAGAGACTATGAGGAATATTTTAGAGTAATTTACTTCTGAGGTGATAAGAACAGGCTCTTCATTAGTAATATAAATCTTGCAAAAGCGTGTAAATTTTCTAAGAGAGTGATTTTTCTTCTTAGAATTTCTTATTATTTTAGAATGACTACATAACCTTCTTCAGCACAGGATTCTGAACTATCCACTACCCCATCATCCTGTATTTTTAATTTGAATTCACTTCTTGAGCAATGTGGGTCGCCAATATTATGATTTTTCTAAACTTTAAGAAGTTTCTGGTTTTACCTTCCTCCTACCCTTTCTTCTTTTTTTCTTCTAGGAACTACTGCAAACAAAGCGGGATCTGCAGGATGTTTTGATAGCCAAAGAAGAGCAAGAAGATCTGCTAAGAAAGAGAGAGAGAGAACTCACTGCCTTGAAGGGAGCATTAAAAGAAGAAGTGTCAAGCCATGATCAGGAGATGGATAAACTCAAGGAGCAGTATGATGCAGAACTCCAGGCTCTGAGAGAGAGTGTAGAAGAAGCCACCAAGGTGAGTGAACTGCATATGGATGGGCCTTCTCTCCCATTTCGGTGGATCTCAAAACAGGGCACTTTCATTTTGGTACTGAAACAAAGGATGGAAAAACAGAAAAACAGATTACTTTATCTTCATCTGTCAGTGTGAAAAATGTTTTCACTTTCTTTCTGGGCATTGAAATCAAGTACGATTATGAGCAAAGGATAAACAATTTAGAAAGTCATGGGGGCTTGGGACTAAAAGACTCATGTGCCCATAGTGATCCTAAAAAGTCCTTTAAATTATTCCAGGTTTACTAAAACATTCATTTTTCATTTTCTCAGAGCATTCATTCTTGGTTTGGAGTAAAGCATTTTTCTTGTTGTTTTTAAATGGCTAGAGGAAAAGGGAGTAGGAGTCATTTTATTGACAGAGAAGAATTAGACTGGAACTAGGAATCTCTGACTCCTGCCCTATAGTATTTCCATCCTGACTTAGTGCCCACCTCCCCCTTTTTTTTTGTAGACCTCATTCTTTTTGTCATCAACTTCCAGGGCAGTTAATTGCCTTGATTAATACACCTTGTACCCTTCACAGATCAGCATTTTAAAGAATTGAATCTTGGCTTTTCCAAACAGATTCTGACAGGTGTGTTAGTCTTTTTCATGTTGTCTGTTGAAAGAAGAGAGAAATGAAAAGATAGGTGTTTTGAAATTTTATGAATTTCAAATATACTTGAATAGAGTATGATGAGTTTGTAGAAAGTCTATTTTCTTGTTTAAGTCAGCCTAGTAATAATGATGTGCTCTGCACTTTATCAGAACATGGTTTGTAGATAGAGAGGAAATAGAACACTGAGCATCATAGAATTTTGGAGCCAGGAAGGACCTTAGAGATTTTCTAGCCCATCCCTATCATTTTATAGTCAAGGAAACTGATTTCCAGAAAGGTAACAATCACAGCTTTCCCATGAACTAACTTCCTCTTGTAGAGTGAATAAAATAATGTATTTCATTGACTCAATCTCGTATTTATTAGTTCCAAAGTTTGAATCCAGGTATTTGAATTGATAAGCTATCTGTTTGGTTGGTCCTAGATTAAGTAGTTAATGGCAGAGCCATGACCAGACACCTAGGCCATTGTTTTCTCTGCCACATCATTGTTCCTCTGGAACATCACAGTTTCTTGTCAGTTTCTGATGCAGTGAAAAAGGTGCTAGATTTGAAGATATGAGTGCTAGTACTTAATCCCTGTGTAAACAAGGGCTTTGCCTTGTGGGGCCTCAGTCTCTTTATTGCAAAAGGAGTTGGTTTGACTAGATGACCTTGATGACCTTGATGGTCCTTTCCAGCCTCACAGTCTGATAGACGGTTATCATGTATATTTCTTTAAAGTCTTCTTTCAAGGCCTCCTCTAGGCAGGGAGATATTGGGTTTTCTGAAGGCTGTCCTAAGGAAGCGCAACCTGGGAGGCTTAGAATGTGAGCTGGTGATAATATTATGAGCCTGCTGTCTGGGGACCAGATATCTCAGCTAGATGTGGAAAGGCTCATCACTGAAAGGGTAGCCACTAAATGATAATTTCTTTTTGACCATGGCAACTCATTAAATGGCCACGAAAATGTGAAGGAGTTGTGACCTGTGTGCTGCTTAAAGAAGTATATTCATACTTCTTTATCTTTATCTTTAACGTATTTATATCTTTAATATAATCTTTAATATCATACCAGATATTCATGGCCCACCTATGACAGTTCACCCTTTATTGAAGAGACAGGATTGCACTGAATTTGCATAATCTTTTTTCAGTACCAAAGTAACCACTCATAATCCATGGAAACCCAAGGAAAACTCACATTCCTCAGGGCATAAGTATTATTTACAATAATAGCTGACCTTTCTGGCAGATTGCCCCACCCAGCATTCAAGAACACTCTCCCAGTACAAAACCATGCTAAGAAAAGGCTTTGGTTCCTACTTCCTCTCAGAGGATACTTGCTGAAGAGCACACTGTGAAGGCTGTGGGCACGTATTTCCTGGTGTTCGGGCATTAACTCTACATCCTCTTCTTCACTGTTGGCATGTCTATAGTCAACTGGTATTATTACTTCTTTCACTGAATTGGAACGCTGCAACTTTGTTCCCCAATGCTGCACAATGATTTTATTGAGAACCTACAGATTCTAAGATCACTGAAAAAAAATGTTGGAGAAGGTGAAGGAGAGACAGCTGACAGGAAGAGGTGACCTTGACAGGATTTTATCGCTATAAACAGGTGACACCTCTCCTCTCCCATCAGTGATCAACCTTTTACACATTGCTTACCTCCTGTCACAGGGAAGGCCCCAAATTTTTCAGTATCCTTGAACTTTTTTTTTCTCATGGCCCAGTAGTTTTCTTTTCTGTGAGGAATTAGGGCCCATAGAAAATCAGGTGATTTGGGCATGTGCATACATTTACTACTAGTTTGTTTCATCCAATTTCTGAGAGACTTTCAGTTGTTTGAAGCATAGTAAGGAGCACCTCTTTGAGAACTACTACTAGGATGAAAATTTCTTGTTCTGTATCGATAATCATAATAATAAAAATTTGTATTTATAGCAAACTTTGTTAAGTATGTTATAAATAGAACACTAGACCTGGAGTCAGACCTGAGTTCAAATGTAGCCTCAGACACTTATTACCTGTATCACCCTGGGCAAGTCATTTAACCTCTACCTGTCTTAATTTCTTCAGCTATAAAATAGGGATGCCTGAGCTGTGAAAGCAGCAGAATGATATAAAAGGACTTGGAATCTCAGTCCAGATATCCTCCCCAAAGCAGTACACACAGCCCAACATTAACATAAACTCCAAAGTCAAAAAAAAAAAGGCTAGAAGAATGAGCAAACAAAAAAAACTCTCACCATAAAGAGCTAATGCAGCAACAGGAAAGCTCAAGCCAACCTCAAAAGAAGAGAGTGACTCCAAAGATATACGAACAAGGCCTCAAAGAAAAATACAGCTTGGATACAAAGTCCAAAAAGAATTCCCAGAAGAGTTACAGCAAGAGTTTAGAAAAAGAGCTGAAAAATGATTCTAAAAGCCAGTTGTGAGCAATCAAGGGGAAAATGGGGAAAGAAGTGAGAGCTAAGGAAGAAGGATGTGAAAAGAGAACAGCTTAGAAAAGGAGATACAAAACTTACTGAAGAAAATAACTCCTTGAAAATTAGAATTGGTCAGAATGAAGGCTAATTGCTCCATGAGACATCAAGAAATAACTAAACAAAGTCAAAAGACTGAAAAGAAAACATGAAGTACCTCATGCAAAAAACGACTGAGCTAGAACATATCAAGGAGAGATAATTTAAGAATCATTAGACTTCGGGGCAGCTAGGTGGCGCAATGGATAGAGCACTGGCCCAGGAATCAGGAGGACCCGAGTTCAAATGTGGCCTCAGACACATAGCATTTGCTAGTTGTGTGACTTTGGGCAAGTCACTTAACCCCAATTACCTCACCAAAAAAAAAAAAAAGAATCATTAGACTACCTGAAAGCCATGACGAAAAAAAACCAGACATGGACATAGTTCAAGAAACCATAAAAGATCAGAATCAGAGGACAAGGCAGAAATTGAAATAATCCACTAGTAACCTCCTGAAAAAAATTCTCAAATGAAAGCTCCTAGGAATATTATAGCCCCAATCCAGAGCTTCCAAGTCAGGAAAAAAAGTAATGCAAGTAGCCAGAAAGAAAAAAAGTATAACATTAACCAATATAGCATATCAGTCTTATCTTATTGGATCATAAATTACTGTGTCCACACTGGCTTAGATCATGGAACAATACCATTACATAACACATATCATTGAATAATGCTGTCTTCATTTTGTATACTGCAGCAGTTCTCAAAATGTGGTGTCTATCCCAAAACCTTTTTCCAGGGGTCTTTGAGGTCAAAATTGTTTTAACAATAATACTGACATTTTAATTTCTTGTAAGGTAAATAAGTATTGATAGATACGACTCACGTAAAAGCTCTTTGGGAGGTCCTCAATAATTTTTAAGAATGTACAATGGCCTTGAGACCAAAGTGTTTTAGAACCTCTGGGTACTGATTTACAGTTTTCAAAGTGTTTTCAAATATGTTTCCCATTTGATAGTTACCCAGTGTTTAAGATAGGTAAGAAAAATGTTTCATTCTCATTTTAAGATGAGGAAACTGAAGCCCAATGAAATTGACTTATCATAGGTCACATGGCTTTTAGGTGGCAGAAGCAGATCTTCTGATTCCCCGTTTTGTGCTCTTTCTACCTCCTAAGGTCTGATGGTCCCTTCACAGCCACCTTCATCTACACTTGAGCATGTTATCCAGAACCCTGTTAACATTAAATTTCTAGATTCAAAGGCTGTAGGTAATAAATGTAAATGAAATAAGGAAATGTAGTATTAGATGTATTGTCTTGTCTGTTTTTCCCTGGTGGATCAATACTGCTTTCCCATAATATATAGATATAAAGGTCAATAACAATTAAAATCAGCTATTACACTAAAATGAAATTAGAGAGAAAATCAGAATTATGTCCCCCAGAGCAATGAAAATTAATTCAGTTTCACTTTTCTTCATCAAATTAAATCAAATATAAAAAAGACTAAGACAGGCAAATCAAGGAATGACTATTTATAATTGTCCCCAAATTATAACAACCCAGTTATATAGCTGCTTCCCAGGCTTTTATTATTGTGCCAAACAAAGTGAGTTTTCATTTCATGTCATTTGCAATTACCATTCCATAATTGAAAAACAGTAAATTACCATGAAGCTTTTTGGGAAGAGGGGCTTACTACATTTGAGTTGTCACTATAATTATGGTAGAATAACCAATCCACAGACTCATACACTGTGTCTTGCACGTAAGTGGTCCCTAAACAAATATTTGTTGAATTGGATCATGGGATCATAGCTTTAGAGCTGGAAGGGATCTTCAAGGTCATCTGGTCAAACTCACTCATTTTACAATGAAGAAACTGAGGGCCAGTGAAGTGAAAGCCTT